TAATTAGCCGACTTTAGAGCGAATGATCCAGAATTAACCGAAGATTTAAAGTGAAAAATACGAATCAATCCTAACGATCGGTAACTGCACGCATTCGGGTACGAACAATGATGACGATCGCACGAATTTTGCAGCACATCGATCGGTATAGATGAATTTACACGCGACGCGAGTTTCCCTCCCACGTTCGAAGCCGCTTCCGAAAACAAAGGATCCTCGAGGGAAGAAACTCTACCCTGTGCAAACTTTTCATTTGAAAATTGCGAAGGAGGGAACGCTAAACCCATTTACTTGCTGCGTCACACCCTGTATATATATACTGGGTGGGGCACGAGCCATGAACTACTTCGATAACTCGATAAAAAGTAATTTCGGCGATAATTGGATTTACGCGAGCGCTGTTTAATTTTCGACAAGTCGCACGGCGTATTATCTAATCGCGTTTTAATCTCGCGTTTTCAATGTTCCCCGATGTTCCTTCCGCGAAAAAACGCGATTACCAAAAAATTATGGATAATGGAGGGTGAAACAAGTAAACAGCAATGAACTGTTTCTATTCCTCGATCCAATGTTGTAATAAGACTAACTTAACAAGAATCGATGTTATTCATTACCCACGAATCAAAGCAAACTATTTTGCTATTATCATTGTATTATCTTCAAATATAATTTCCACTTGAAGTAGAATGGAATGTAAACAGTACGCCAAGGGGTTAAGGAAATGTCTTCGTAGTTTTGGAGTATCAAGAGTGGTCTTACAAAGAGAGACAAAAATCTGTTTGAATGAAACTCTATGCACATAATGCATCTAGAAATGGAAAAAGGCTTTGTCGACAGTGCTCCTCTCTCCGTGGATTTCCTAACAGTTCTCTTCGAAAATTAATTTATAATCCAAGAGGTTAAAGGAAAGAAAAACGAATATTTCAGCGGAAGATGGTCGATATTATTCGCCGGACAGCGAGATGAGTCTCGCGGCGTTCCTTCGCCGAGCTAATATAATCCGGGAGCGCGTGCTGTTTACGCGGGCAATTCACGTACACGCGAAGGAGGCCTTACGTGACACGTTGTCCGTCATAACAGTCTTCAACGCATTGTAATTCGTCTTTCGTACCGAATCGATAGAGCTTAAAGGAAGCCTTGTGCCTAAGCCTGCCCCCGTTGCCCCCCTGCCGCCGGTGAATTCATTAAACCATCGCGGTCGAGATCTGGGCCGAACGATACCCCTTTCTTACATTCTGAGTCCCACTTTTTATACCTCCATTTATTTATTCATGTACTTATTTGCTTGTTTGTATGTATATTTGCTTAATATGAATGAGAAAGACGGTAAAGGCCTTTTAACCCTAAAGAACCGGTCTCTCGGAAGGTCGTAAATAGTTCAATTCGTTCGATCAAGGAGAATTCCCGTGGAATGGAATCTTTCGATTCTAGAAATTTATCATTATTTTAAGACGATTGAGACGATGCATTAATTTAGTCGCGCTATTAATTCTTATTGGACATCGATTGCCTCGCATGGCACGATTGTATTCAAGCAATTCAGTAGTCGATGACTGGCACGATGCTTCACGTGTTAATGACTGGAGAAGAATTTAGAATTCATTTTTGAAACTCCTCTATAGAAACTCCAAGGGCACGAAACTCCTTTGCTTGTCAACTTCTTTCGCGCTCCCCAAAATACATCCTCCGAATCCCCGACGCCCCATCGTTTCGGTTTTCTTTCCCACATATGTTACGATTGTTTTTTAGTCATTCAGAAGCGTCGGTCACCGGTGGCTGACACGGCGCTCAACGTGTTAAAAGAACGAGAGAGTGGATTTTGGAGGACGATGCACGGTGCAGCGTTCGTGCACACGAAGGCGGATCGAAGCGCGCGCAGGCGGCGGTCGACCTCGATCGTTCGAACGATGGAAAAAGGACTTCGTTAAAGCGAGGGCCGTGTGCAGGCAACGCGGATACTTCGTGACCAAGGTAATCTACCCTTCCGACAGGAAGAAGGTGAGGCCCTCGAAGTACCCTGCGGCCAGGTTCGTCGAACCCACCTCCTTGTAACCCGTGCAACGCCGTGGTTACCCGCTGCGAGCTGATCGTTCGTTGGCCTGCTTGTTTACGGAAGCTATCGGCTGTGCCCGGTCGATTTCAATGTATCGGGTCATCTCGTGGAGCGGCCACAATGCACAGGCAACGTTGTTTCAACGATAAAACTACCGAACAGTTAGAATCACCTGTTTCCAATTATTTCGGAAAATTAGAACACGTTTTCGGTCTCGTATCTGTAGAGACGAACGTTTCATTCGAAAACCTTCGCGATTTAACGCTAGAACTACCGAGCATTTAATACGATTAATATGTAATCCCTATAAAAATTGTAATAATTGATTGTTATCAATTCCTTCGGACATTCAGTATAGTATTCGAATATTCAGTGCTTTTAAGATATCAATAGTTACGAAATAAACACGTTGGAACCAGTCATTTTGACTGGTAGTTCTAGTGTTAAATACTTGCGAAAGACACATTTTGAAAGGTCAACTGGACCTGTTTTACTGTTAAAACGAAGGAACGCTTTAACCTCTTCAGAGCTGAACTCTTTGGAGATAGATGATTTTGGGTTCCGTTTCACTGCAGTCTTTTTGTTCTAATTGACTCAAGCGACACGAAGACGGAGGTAGTTATCGGAAACATTCAGAAAAACAAGTATTCGTTCGATGGAGGTTAATGTTAAACTACAATCGAATGTTCATATATAGGAGAGTATCCTTGAAGAGAAAAGGAAGAAGAGTGTAGGACGAATGAATTCCTTGTAGGATTTCTTCGATGATTTTCTCAGTAACCTCGTTGTATCCTCTAAAAGATTCACCCTGAAACGAATGAACATTCGACCGAAGAAGATTGTAAAACGAATTAATGCGTTATGGGATTTCCTTGGCGATTCCCTCGGTAACTCTGTTGCTGCGTCTGGCTGCAGTTCGAATCGAAGATCGATCCTAAAACGATCGAGCGTTCTAACGAAGAGGATTCTTTGATCATTTTTTCTTACTTCTACTTCCTTCGTTTCGCCATTACGTTAATAAAAGTACTCGCTTCTTAAATAATATATTTAAGTTAAAAATATCTTGTTTAAAGCTTTCAATATTCGTCACAAGTTTCAGTAACTGTTTCATAGGTTTGCTCAAAATAAGCAACGATGATTTCCAACGATGATCCTCGAGAAACTGTGTGAAACACTGTTCCGGATGACTTTGAAATTTTAATGAGGATATTCAATAACGGAAAATTACTGCAGATTCTACACCATTTTCCTGTTTCTTTATCTATCGTCACAGTCTATTATCGTTCACGTTCGTCTCGGATTTGTTTCGGATCGCGTGGACGATAATGCCGAGTAAATTGCAGTCCGGTGCGTTTCGAATACTCGGGGAAAAAAGAATAATAGGAAAAAAAAGAAGATTATCTCGATGAGATCACGCGCGAAACCGAGGTGCCAATCGATGATCGTGCGTTCGCGTGATTGGCCGTTCGTGACAACCATAATTCCACGGGCGATCATACCCGACGACCACACCTTGCTCGTTGTGAACCAGACTTTAAATGGTCACCGACGCATAAGCGCGCAGTGCACGGCGCATAAAGATGCGTAATGTTTTAACGCGTGGAATGAACAGTGCTTATTAGAGCTTCTTGAAACCAATCGAATCATTTGTCATTCACTTTTGATAATCTTCATATCAATATGTATCGCTAACATCAAATGTTTCGCAAAAGAATTTATCTTATCCGATGAACACTAACTACGTACCAATTGAAACGATCAGTTTTATTTTTCAAGACTATTCATAGCTTAAAAGTATTAAATCTCCAAGATGTTTTTAAAAATAAACAGTTATAATTATAATACTATAATAAGTGCCCGTTGAGATTAATAAGCGTCACATGCGTCGCTCAGAGGCCAAGGCTGTTAAATCGATTTTTCATGCTTTCTGACTTGTGTGAGTTTTCATGGGATAAATAATATTCTTTTTAATTTCTCAAGGATTCGCTCCTGAGCGAGTCATAAGTTAATTGTATAAAATACTCGGTAGTTAGTGTTAACTTGGAAAATAATCATCGACAGTTCGTAACAGTCCTCCTCTATGAACTCAAGCATCTTCTTGAAACAGAGATATTAAATTTTTCTTTGATATAATTCGCACAAAAACCGAAGACGAACGTCATTTCGAGAAGCATCCCGGGAACGCGAGACGCGTCTCACCGCGTCGTTTAGCGAAGTACGCGAGCGACGATGGCGTAATCTGAAACGCAATCCCCGATTTTATTGTATCGCGAGCGAGATACTCTAGCGCCATTGACTTTCGCAACAGCTCGTGCAGCGACCACGGTAAACAAATTTGCGAGACCGTTCCTCCTCACGGCAATTAGTCAATTACTACAATTAGACGGACTGACGGACTGACCGCGCGACTCCTCGGTGTTGGACGTACGCGGACGAAACGTCGCTTCGAAAGTTTCGCAATCGGCGAAGAATATCTTCGAATCAACGCTAGAACTACCAGGTGGATCAAAACGATCGATTCCTAATTCTTTTAGTATTGCTGCAGAGCTACGGATACTTCCTTAGGGAATGATTAAAGAAGCTGATTTGCTAATACCTAAACTGAAATATAAACCCACTGAAATCTTAATAAATTAACGCTTATAGCTTTCGCAAAGAAATTTGACGAAGATGATTTAAATGCTCCGTGTTCTACCGTTAACCCTTTGAACTCTGTAGACTCCAATATTGCACCAGTTATAATATCAAAAATTTTAACGAATCAAAGAAACTACCCTAAACTTATTCGATTCTCCACACATCGCAATTTTCTACTGAGAAGGAGAATAAAAGATCGAAGGGATATTAAGCTGTAATTGAATCAACTAACGTCGACGTGAACCTCAAAGTGAGAAACCAAGAGCATTTCGGACCGCAAAGGGTTGAAGACACAGAACGAAAGACTCACCTTCCTCTTCCGTTCCTGCACGAAGTCCACCCTGCGCACCCAGACCTCCTCGGTGGAGTCGTAGTCGAGCGTGCTGGAGCTGCTGGCCTGGCTCTTCATCTCGATCAGGCTGCTGTCGAAGTACCTCTTGTCCAAATGTGGGCTGGGCAGGGGGCTGGTCCTGGAGAAGGTCATGCTGGTGGAGTAGGTCGGAGGGTCGGTGGCCGGGAAGGTCATCCCGGGCCCAGTGGTGTGTCTTCTCCTCAGAGGCGGCTTCGTGGTGGACGTGGGCGACGTGACGGTGCACGTGGTGAACCTCGAGGACGCGGTGGTGGTGACCGTCACGGTGGTGCTCGGCGGAGCCGTCGTCGCCGTCGACGTGCTCGTCGTGGCCGGCGTCGTCGTCGTTGCCGTTGTCGTCGACGCGGCGGCCGTAGTCACGGCGATCGAGGTAGGGGTCTTCGACTCGGACAACGACGAGCCGCCGATCGACTTCTGATCGATCCTCTCCGAGCTCGACTTCTCGGACGCCGACGGGCTGGACGCCTTCGACGAAGCGTTCTCCAGCTTCTCCTCGATCTCCTCCGTCTTCGAGACGTCGTTCTTGCTGCCTGCGGTCCCCGCGTTCGTCGTGTCCACGTTTTTGCCTGGAAACGAAGGTGGAGCTTTATAACGAACTTACAGGAACCTTTTAACACGTTGAATGCCACAACATCGAAATTTGATGAAATTATATGGAGCGTACACTGATTAGGTGCTTCACCGGTAAAAGAGTGCGCGGTCTCGCCGATCCGATCGCCACAAAGAGAGCATTGTCTCGTTCCGATCGCGCCGGTGGATCTCGGGTAGACCAAGGTCTACCCGCCACAAAGACGCGCCTGTTCCGCGGATTTTGCACCGTACATCGGCGTGTCGCGTTCATTCGCGACTCGCATCTTTGTTTCGAAATCGATAACGATTCCTCTGCGAAGGTTTTTCCGCCCGTCGATTTCACGGATACCGAATTGTTTAAACATTATTTAGTAGCAGTTTAAGACCACTTTGATTCGCGCAATTATGTGAATACGCGTTGCAATGCTTTAACTTCGAAGCTACAGTCCTCGCGATCTATATACAACGCAGTTCTCTAGAACCAATAGAATAAACTGTACAAACGCCCGTAAATCTAGCGTTAATTAGCTCCGTAAATATCGATACAACAAGACAAATGATTTCATAAACGTACACGCCGATTTCCATTGATGCAATTACACGCGCTTCGTAATCGTTCACTTTTAAGCCTCCCGTTTCCAAGATCTAAACGAAGCAGCGTCGGTTCTTCTAGGAACAATGGTATAAACTGTACAACGAGTATCCGTTAATCCAGTCTCGAGGCACGAAGGAGAAAGAAAGAGGAAACGAGGGCGTCAGTTTAATAACCGGATAATAAATTGATAACGATCGTTCCGGCGAGGATTGAGTTACCGCGTTTCCCGTTACGGAAATAATCTATAAATACAACGCAACCGCCGCGCTGAAGCGGGCAGTTCGGTTTTCGCGGTGTTGGTAGAATCGTTGCCAAACGGAACTGAACGAAGCTAAACCACCGGCCGCTACGCTAATCTTAGCTCTTATTAAACGAGTGCGAGGGCTCCTCCTAATAGCTCGACGCGCGCGTTTCAATGTCTGAATCGCGTTTCGCAATCGCACGCCCGGTTTCCGCGCGACCCGTGCACGCGCAATCGCGCTGCCCGATCCAACTACCCCTCGAGCAACGATCGAGGAAGCCAGCTGCTCGAATCTTCCGGAGATCATTTCGATTCCTTTCCGAACCTACGATTTTTTCTATTCTGCCTGTGGAGATTATAGGACTACTTTTAGTCCTATCAGTTCCTTTAACCCTTTGAACTCTGTAGGCTCCAATATTGCAGTCGAAATATTAAATATTTCAATGAATCTTAAAGAAACTACCCTAAAATTATTAGACTTACATCCAAATTTTGTACAGAGGAAAATAAAAGATCAAAGAAATATAGCATTTCTCATTTTCTCTAGGAATACTATAAAAATTAGTTGCTGATAGATTACAAAGCAACCTGGAGAGCTAAGGATTAAGCTCATCGATCCTTTAGTCTTTTAGGCCTAGTTTCTCTAAAGGCACTATTACATCGTATCATTGATACCTAACAGAAAGAAGATACTCGGCTACAGGAAAGTCCGATAATGTCGTCTGAAGTTTTCAAAGAAACGGAATCCACAAATTATCAACACGCTGGGAAGAGGTCACCATTAACCACATTCCAGCGATATGGAAACACGTCCCGAGATCTCCATGCGCGCGAGAGGCGACGCGCGAGCTGATGCGCGAAAACCGGACGCCATTACGACGCACACGCGGCCGATCCTTCTGCGTAATGAAAAGCTGAATCGTTGAGTCGCGGGACGGCCATAATTGCATCGAAACGAACGAGTTATTCGCGATTAACGAGCGACACCGCGGAAAACTGTTCAAACGAGGCACTACGGGTCCAATGTCTTCGGAATCCTCTGGCAAAAGTTATAGGAGCCACTCCTTTAGCAAAACGATCAGTTCTATTAAACGAAACACAGGGAATTTTAATGGTATAAGATAAAGAATCAGTCGACGCGTTAATTGCCTCGAGAATCTCGAGCTTTTCGCTTATCCTCGTTCCATCGCATTTCAAAGAATCTTCGTCCGCAAAAGGTTAATCGTCTGATACACGATTCCTACGTCGCACTATAATTCAGTTATATACAAATCACAACTATTCCCAACCAACTCGACAGTGTCTTCAACACCATGATGCCTTTCAGCGCTAAAGGATTCGAAGAGCAACTCACTCTGGCCAATCAAGTCCAACCGACCTCTAGCTTTTAGAAGGCTACTTAGAACTTGCGATCTCTAAAATCTAGGAAGCATGAGAAACAAGCTGGTAAAGCTCACCTTCCTCCGTCTCGTACTCGTCCTCCTCCCTGCACTCGGACAGCCTCCTGCCCCACGGATAGGGGCTGTGCGTCTGGTTCCTGGAGGGCAGCCTGTTGACGTGCGACAGGAAGTAATGGTGGAAGAAGCTGTCCACGCCGTCCGAGTTCTCGCCGGTGCACTGCAGCATGTCCTTCAGCGCGGCCAGCGAGGTGATGGTGTTGTAATTGATGGCGGAGATCAGGTCGTCCTCGATGTCGCTGTCGTCGGTGGTGTCGTCGTTGTTGTTCTGATCCTCCTTCTTCGTCTCGGGCAGCGCGGGCTTCGCGAGCTCGGTCTTCGACGCTTCCGTTTTGTCGTCCGAGCTGGTTTCCGATTCATCGTCGGAGGTGCTGGTCGACGTGGTGCTGCTCGACGACTCCTCCACTTCCTTCTTCCCGTCGGTCTTCTCCTCTTTGGCGTCCTCGTCGGACCCTTTGCCCTCGTCCTCGTCGCGCTCCTCCTCGTCCTCCTCGTCCTGGGACACGGCCTTCGACAGTTTGTCCGTGCCGTCGCGGTTCTCGTCGTTGCGAGCCATTTTTCCTAGATTCTTGAGGTTCTTCAGGGACTCCTCCTTGCCCAGGCTTCCCTTGCCGATCTTCGCGTCGCCGTCGCCTTGCCCGGTCATCTTGGCCCCGCACCGATTATCACTGATCACATCGCACTCATCCGACTCGTTCTGCTTGTCACCGCCGGCACTATCCATCGAGGTATCTGCAAAACGAAAGGGCGAGGTGTTATTGACGCTGACACGATGGCGTTCTGCTGTTGGAACTTGAAATGTTTACTCGGCTCGATCGTAGCCTGATGCACGATGCTTTAGGGTATCTTTTTGGAACTTTTGCAAGTCGTTTCAATGGTAGCTGCATAGCAGAATACGTAATTTATATTACTACGCGGATTTCTTTCGCGCTAGAGCTTAACCTTTTAGCTACGGAGCTAGCAGCGATGCTATACCTTCGAACGGCAAGGTTGGACGTGGTTTGCACGTCGTAAGTGTAATATCACCGCAATTTGAGACCGCTAGAATTTTCCGCTGTACAATTACGTTAGATTAGACCATAATGTGCACGACTATCGATGATAGAGAAGGATCGCGCCGCTATAGTGGCGTATCGTTCGAAAAGATCGTGTATACGAAAGCTGCTATAGCGGCGTACACTAGCTAAACGGTTAACGAAGCTACTTTGTCCGCGTTACCTACCGGAAGCCTATTAACAGAATCCTCGGTGACCGTTCTACATCGAAAACAAACTTAATAGTTTTCGATCAAGTGATGATCCCCCGAAACATCGGTACGATGCGGTAAGAGGATTCATTCTTTCTCAACAGCTACCGAAACATCGATAAACCCTTAACTCCTAATTGTCACCTTACTAAACTATCGAAGAACCATTAACAAATATATTGCCAATGATTACATAGAACAGCTTCTCTACATTCGCACCAAAGTCACAATTTACTTCAACAGTGAACCCTTTGCACTCGGAAGCTTTCCACTAGAAACATTCGACATTTTCCGATGAGACATAGACGACACTATTTGAAACGAACCAATGAGAAAACACGTGAATTAAGAAATAAAGCTATTTTATATAAATATTCCACATATCGATGCATTCTAAAAAACTTAATACTACATTTAACAGTTTGTAATTTTCTTATATTAAATCAAATGGTGACTGAGGGTGACTGAGTGCAAAGGGTTAAATGTCAACCCTTCGCGATCGAATGCCGCCGCAATGGCGACTTCAGCTTTCACATCAGAAATCGAGGTGCAAAATAAAGTTCAACGAATGCTCGTTCAAAGGGTGAACTAGAAATACGCAACGTACCGTTTCAATTCGAAAAAGAAACAGGTAATACTCAAGTGCACCCGGTGAATTCATTCTGAAGCGTTTCGCCGCGCGTCTATCTTGACGCGTCGCGATGGCGAAGGGTCGAACGAGCTCGTCATTCGCCGAATGTCGCGATTTCGCTCGGCGGACGCTCCGGAGCGCGTTTTCCGACTCATCGGCTGCGTTTTCTTTTTATCCCGCGTTCGTTCCTCCTTTTTCGGGAACCGCCGGGACGCCTTGTTGTATGCACGTGAACGCGTCACTGGCGCATTGCGGTAAGTACGCCCTCTATTTCGTAACCGTGGAAACGTTTGACTGTACAGTCGGCTTTCCTAGATATACATTACACCGGCGAGTCGATCTTCAATGACGCCGAGGCACGAACGTCCAGCGAATCACCTCGGCGGATTAAAAATGCATCCTCTATGCGGCGCGTCGAACGAACCGTGCGTTTAATCGTCGCTAATCGTAGACTAATCGCTTGAGAATTCGAAAATTCGCAGGATCCACCGGATACGAGAGCATTCGGAGAGCAATCATTGCGGAGGAATGTTGACTTTTCATTTCCCAGCATCTATATTAACCCTTTGCACTCGAAAGTTTCTCACTTGAAATGTTCGACGCTTTCTAACTAGATGTAGACGAGATTCTTTCAAATGAACGTTTTAAGAAATCACACGTGAATTAGGGAACTAAAGCTGTTTTCTTTCAATGTTTCACGTAATGATGCAGCGTACAAAGGTTAAGGGTAAGTACCAAGGGTAAACGGTTTGTTTTCTATATTCACGTACAACTTTTTACCATAAAATATAGTTTATACTTTACAAAATTATTAGGTTAAGACAGATGTTAGTAGTTTTATTTGCGCCTACATGCAAATATCTGCAATACTTAAGCGAATAAAAAGTTCTTTAGAAAACGAATCTTCGATTTCCGTTGCTCCGAGAAGCGTCATCGATACTCGATCAGAAAAGTAACGAACATTCGCCGAGAAAAATATTCTCGAGTGCAAAGGGTTAATCAATTTAGACATTGCTCTTTACTTATTTTTATCTTTTTTATTCCGCGATCGGACGCCGCTCGCGATAACCTGCCGCCGCGCCGAACGAAAGCGAATGTTTATTTAACTCCCAGCGTCGAAGATCTACGGGAAACGGTGTTCGCGGATCGCCGTCTAGCTAAACTGATAACTCGACAAAGAAAACCGAGGTTTATCGTGCTGAAGGTTAAGTTAATGAACTTTGATAGCGTTCGCCGGATCGCCGATAACGTTTCGACGCGGACCGATCCCGTGCAGTTCGGGATTGCGCGATTCCGGCCGATTTGTTCGGATCGAAACGATGTTTATAGACCTCCCGGGCCGCGAAACGGGCGTTCTCCATTTTATAAATACCGCATTTCCCCGAAGTTTGCTCGGACGTTCGGTAATCGCAATATTCGCGGTTCGGTCGAGCGTATCGCTGCGATCCCGATATCGTGATGCAACGTTCCCAATAAAAAGGGGAACGGTAAACAACTGAAATAAATAGAATGGTGAAATATTAATAGTGCGAGATTTCCATTTATAAAATGCATCCAACCCACTTATAATTAATGCCATAATACTGTACAATGCTCAATAACACGAATAATTCCCACGTTCGCAAAATAGATTCGAACGAAACCTTCAACCTGTATCTTAGGCACAATCTCCACTCGTTTCGCAAACAAGATTACTTCCACTTCGGTATAAGGAATCTAATTGTCCATTCATTCCATTGCGAACGTTAATCTATCCCGCGAAAGATCCGAAGACCTCGCCCGAACAGTAAAATGAATCCTAAAACGAAAACGCGCATCCGCGAGTGTTACGATGCATAATTTCCAGTAACTCTCGGCCATAAACGCGTCTCCCGGTTCAACGCGATCGGCAGTTTCGCGTTTTCACTGTCGAACGGAGCAACAGGTCTTTCGCTCGCCGACGAAATCGCTTGTCGCGCGAGCGATACGAGAGGTGTTGGCGTTTCCCGGCAGAAAACGAACATTCTCGCACGGAACACGTTCATTCTTCCTTTCGCCGATCGCGTTACGCGCGAACGGGACGAGAAGGAGAGGGGAACAGAGGCTCGCGCGATATCGGTCTAAGTTACGAGCGCGTGAAAGAGTATCGCGGCCGCGAGCGACAGCGTACGGGACGGCCGAAGCGCAAACATGATTTAAGGGATCGATTAAGCGCGAGGAAATGAAAGAAGGAGTCGTTCGAATCGCCACGCGTCGTTTTCACTCGAACGTTTCATTCCTATTCCGCGGCTCTTCTGCGATCGTGCGCTGAATTTCGCTGAAGAAATCGGACGACGGACATGAATTCTGTAGACACGTTCGCTGGGAAACGGATTACTCGTCAAACGCGAATGAATTTTAGATTCTAAGTACACGAAGAAACCGAGTTTAAAGTTTGAATGAAATCTGTCCGGTCACGGTACGTTTAGCGTTGAATCCCGCACACCCGATGTGTGTCACCGGGAGGATTCGTTTTTTATCTGCCACTCGAGATCCCGTTTATTTTCGACAGTTCGCATCGGAATAATTTTATCTGTCGCGCGACAGATAACGCGTGGAACGGTAAATCCGATAAGATAAGCAACATTATGCGCTCCGGTATCGATCAAGATGCACGATCTAATCGTTCCGCTCGGCGGTCGCGAACGCGATCGATGCGATTCGGTCGAGTGGAGGGAAATCTATTGCAGGGATTGAAAGCGAAAACAGAGTCGATTCTACTCTATTAATCTCTCTAATTTCGCTCGGTAGCTCTAAGGCCGGGTTCGCGTCGAAGAGAGCTGTTCGGCTCGAACACGTTTGCTGGTATGAACAATTTCGCGAACGGCGATCAACGAGCAGGGAACTCGTCGGTGAGCTCGGGAAACAGTGCATCGAAGGATCTGCTCGCGACTTCGAAATCTATCGGAACGTGTCCGTGATATTGCCTAAGAAACAAGTCGGCAACTGCTCGCGACTGCGAGGTCTAGCGTGAATGCAATACTATTTCCCTTGGCCAGTTTCTGAGCTGTTCGAGAGTGGCTCGTGAAGTCCTCTTCAGCCTGAACTAAACCTAATGACGAGCATCTAGCGAACAAGCGAGTAACCGCTTGCGAACTCCAGTTACTAGGCAGATCGTTTTCGGAAATTTTGTTATTGTAACCTATAAGATCTATAATAACCTGTAAGAAGATTAACCCTTTGCAAAATTCCAAAGGCGATCTGTCCGGAATTTTTGACCGCCGCTCGTTTAGCTACTCGCGAACAGTTCTCTTCGGTACGGACAAGGCCTAACGCGATCGCGGTGATTTCACCCGGGGGAACTCGAGATAGACACGCGGCCAGTTTAATATAATCTTGACGGAAGTTAAGTGACGGCCGATACAGGACGGACACAGGATGCCGCGGTGCACGGGCGCATCTTTGGCCGCGGGCCAGGCGGACTCATCTTTCCCGCGATTACTTGTTTACCACGCGCGCTTACGCGGGCTGACGTAAACCCGCTATCGGACCAGCTCTCGTGGATGGATCCGAGACGAACACGTGACAACCGATGCATGCAGGCGTACAGAGTCCTGCCGAATATTCGAACCTCGATACTTCTGAAGACTCTTTTCGTGAAAGACCGAATTATGCATCGAAGTGATGGATGTTAGAAAAAAGGAAACGACGCGTTGGCTCCTGGTTGTTCGAACAATGAAATGATGCATTCGCAACTTTGGATTTTGGATAGCAAGGTCCGAGTTTACAGTAGAACTACCAAACAGGTGGAAATTAGCCATCTCAGAATTTGTTTTCACGGTCATTGTAATTGTAAAGACGTTCTTACGGAAGATTGTTAAATTAATTTACAGATTT